TTTAAGTTAAATTATTGCTTTCACCTGAGGTAAAAGTCAGAACAAAAAAGCAGAAGACCCTTAAAAAGTCATCATAACTTTTCTTGGATTTTCTTCCTTTCCTACTAATCTGTCTTCACATTTAAGACATCAAGAGCAACATTCCTCTTGATATGCAAGGAAGCTGATTATAAATTTAACTGACTAAACAAATACTTTCGTAATCATATCAATTACCTTCAGATGCAATAAAATTAAACTTGGAATCCTTGCTACTTAATTGTATTTAAAAAACCCAAGGTACAGAATTACTTTGAACTATTTCCGTTAAAAATGCTATATAATGTTATTCTGTACCTAATTTATTCAATCACAGGCAAATAGTTTTAAAACAACCCAACATTCAATTTATCTGAGGGATTTTATTCAGCAGAATTTAACACCAAGTCGACGTCAGTGGATGTTCACAATAATGGTAAAATTAAGGGCTACATACCATGAGAATATATAAATTGCAACAAAAATAATTGTGTTCCAACACTGGAGTCAATGTTTAACTTAAAAAATAATTGGCACGATAGGTGGATTAATTTGTTTCGTAGTAATGAAGAAATTGAGGCTTAAAATATAACTAACAAATCAAATTTGTGAAAATATATTTATGCTGAAATATGTCCCCTGTGATAGTCTATCAATGTTTTTCAAGCTTGGCTACCTTAAGTTGACTGGGCTTCAACACAGAATTCCCCAGCCAGCTTTCCATTCATCGGAAAGCTGCCAAGTTTGAAAAAAAATACTGTTCCAGCAGGAGTCAGAGGACTGATGGGTCTTCCCTGTTGGAGATCAAGAAAGACTCCAGTCTTGAAGGAAGGCTGTCTCTGCTTCAATGATCAAATTTTTCCATGGGGGAATCCATCTTTAGAAAGCAAAGCCCAATACACTGAGCTTTGCTCAGATTAAAAGCCTCTTTGGGGAAACTTGGGTTGAAGGTCATTTTTTAAATAATAATTAAGCCAGTTTGACAGTTTTAAACAAACCAGCCCTTTTTTGCTAGCAGGGTTTTTTTTGAGACAGTTATAATGTTCTACTTATTTTCTGGATTGAAGTAGTAATTGTGAACTTGAGAAAATGCTCTATTATACTGTATACTGTAAGTGGGGATTAACTATGCAAAGGTTTTCCACCTAAAAATCTATGAGGTTAATACAGGTGGTCAAAAGGTTGGAGAAATTATAAGGAAGTAATACTGTAATACAATTCTGAGCACCATTCTTATATGTTTGAAGTTACATTGTTGTGATGTAATCTGTTTTTTGAATAACACCATATCATATAACATTCTCTCAATTTAGATAATGGTGCTTTTGTAGAATGTTAATGGGCACGCTTTGTGCATTCCACAATTAGAATATAGGAATTATAAAATTAATTGGTGGCTTCTATTTACTATATTTAAGAGGAAACATGTTCAAAATGGTTTGCTTACATGGTGGATTGAGATAAACAGATTAAAAAACACTGAAAAGGGTATTCACCTGCAGCAGTGACATTTAATTTGTTGGAAAGAGATACAAAATAATAGACTGACTACCCCATAAGATAGGAAGTCAAGTTTCTCCATTACACTTGGAAAAGATTTGAGGACAATTTGGCAAGATTTGTGGATTATGTTTACAATTCATTCCGTTTTCATCAATGAACAATTTCTGTTCATTTTCTAGGATTCAGTGTAGAATAGTTTCAATGAATAGGCATTAAACTGTTAGCTTTCAAAAAATGATTTGAGTTGCTGACAAAGTGAAAGCAAACTGTGAACAGCCAAATCATAATAAACCTGTGATTAACTAGGCTTGCATTGACTTCATTTCCAAACATGAAAATATTACAATGACATATGCAGAAAAAGAGTAAAATAAGGCCATTTAAGATTATTTGAAACTTTGAAAATGATTAAATATATTTGTGGTTATATTTTGAGCTTGTGGTGTATAACTTATCAGCTTCTCTACTGTATAAATGTCAGCTATTACTAATAATAATCCCCCCCCCGAAGAAAAAGAGGAACATGAGAGTAATCAAGGTGATGATCTCTAAAGTTTCAGTATATATACATACTGAAATTGTTAAAAAACAATCAAATAATCTTTAATTCTTATGCAATTTTAGTGTTCCTGGACTGCATCAAAAGACATTCAGGCTATTAATGCATTGTGGAAATTTGTTTTTAATAAACTTGTATGAACCAAAAGAATTGATATTTCCAAGAAATAAATGTCTTCATAGGTTGGAGGAAACAGAACTGCAAAACAAAGACCACGGCTCAGCATAGTGTCTTCAATAACCCAGCTGTGTGGTTTCCAGCCTTCATAATTATGCACAGGAAGGAATACCAGAACCTGGCATTTTAGCAGTTAGCAAAAGAACAGTATATATTCCTCTTTAGTAACAATTGCCTCTAATTATGATACGGTAATAAAAATAAGCATATACAGAGATTTGACTTTGTAGGATTGAGTTCCAAATGTAGTATTTACATTTCTGCAGATATGGCTCAAAGTGCAAGATACAAAAGGCATGAAATACTGGCAGTCAAAAGTCAACATGAAATATTACCAGTCAACTTTTTGACATAATCATGATTCAATTAGCTGATAATTCACTCAATTAATGCAGTCCTTGATTGACATGAGTAACATGCTACGGTCAGAGAAAGAGCCCAAGCAAACAAAACATTTCTAGTTAGTTAATTATTGGGGCTATAACTAAACCCATGTAATGTTTATATTCTGTCTGAGGCAATTATGTTTGGCCAGATAGGCAGTAAACTATTTGCTTCTGGATAACTCTCACTGTAATTAAAACACTATTTTTGAAAAGTTGGTGCCAGACAATCACAAATGGAGCATTCATAATGTACGTTTTAACCTCTTATGGTCTTAACTGTAGGGAAATATTTGCAATTATCAACTCCTGGCCTATATGTCTTTATGCAAATGAATGTAACTTTATATTCTACATTAAAAACAAAGTGGAATGCCCAGGACAAAACTGAAATGTAATAAACGTATCTCTGAAATTGAATATATGTAGTGCTTGAAGGAAAAAAATCAGTAGAAGTCTAGAAATTTTCCTTTAAAAGTCTTTTCAAGTTTCCCAAATCTCATGTTGTCCAAATTATCTTCCATAGATGAGCCTGATTTTCACCTGAAACATAATTTAAAAAAAAACAGAGCTATGGCATAACAGTATTGTCTTTTCATTGGGGCATATAACCACCTTGCCGTACAGTCTGCGGAAGGTAGCTTTTGGGCATCTCTTCATTGGTTACCATATCTGTGTTATTTTCAAGCTGCCCAGCCTGTTCCATTAGGTTAGGAGAAAATGCACCTATTAAGTCCTTCCCTTGTTCATCTGTTTCTGGGCCAGATCCACCCATTTGTGATGCTGGAAGCCTGGCAGCATCTTCCTCACTTATTGGAGAAATCTGTTTCGCTTTTTCGAAATCTGTGGCTGTGTCATCGCAGCTGCTATTTTGCTTGAAGTAGCGCTGCTTGGGCACTGAGTGGTCATTTCCAAGCATCTGTTGATCCTCTGGCCTCTCTTCTGAATCTAAGAGAGGCTGTGTAGATTCAGATCTGGCAAAGACTTGCACCGAAGGAATTTGATCCCGGTAGCCACTGGGTATTACAGTTGAGTACTGCACAGTGCCGGAAGTGTTCTGAGCAGGTTCCCCTTCATCGCTATCCGAAACACTTTGTCGAGGAGAAGACATGCAGGATGAACCCCCTATACCACTGCTGTGACCTTCTGAGGCACTCTTCTCTTTCCTAAGCAAGTCGAAAGGCTTCAGATCTTGATCTGAGAGGGATTTCTTGTCCTCAGCTTCAATTTCTACAACACTGACGTCAGTAAAACTGCCCTCTGGATATATTTCCTCTTTGGAATTAAAATGCTTTAAAAAAAAAAAAAGACAAAAATGTCATTGTAATTATCTGTCATGCAATTTGATTTTAAATCAAAACTACATTCATTTGATGTTATCTTTAGTCTGCCCTCATCATTCCTTTCTTTCTGTCAGAAAGTCAAGTTTCTTCAGTAGTAAATTAACGAAGTGCCTCCTTGGCCTTTCAGATTGGTCTCTATCTCCCTGAAATGTTCATTACTAAAACACAGGATCTGAGAATGAAACTTTTCACAATACAAGTTATACTAGACGTTCTGCTGAATTTACATTATTCTCCGTACACGCCTGACAGTTCTACATAGATAGATAGATAGATAATTTAATTTGTATACCGCCCTTCTCCCATAGGACTCAGGGCGGTTCACAGCATATTAAAAACAAATACTATACACAAATATACAAAAAATACAAAATACAAAAATACAGAAATACAAAAAATAAACCCCGATAAAAGCCGAATTAAAAACCAAATATTGCCAGCTGTGTTTCCGATTAAAATACTTTTAAAATT